TTCAAACAAACATCCATCTAAACATTCGCATTCATGATATAAGTAAGATAGTAAGATTTTGCCCATAAATTTCGAAGTTGGTGAAAGAATATTTTTAAAAAATATGTATATATTTGCAAATAATACGTGTTAATTCTTTTGTTTCGGTTTTAGCATTGATTTCGTATTTTTTTCTTAATTTATAATATGGCGTTTACAGCTGCTTATTGACCGTAATGTCGATATATCGATATAATACAACACTTCTTGAAATACTACGCTCATAACATAAAAAGGCTTGCAAGTTTTTAATATGTAAAATTTTATGGAGTTAGGAAATCTAACTCTTTTACATCGACACAAGACTCCTTTTGTATCTTATAGGTAATCCGTTTGTAATTTGCCTAGGCAAATCATAAAAGCTCAGCAGATTTCATATCAAAAGAATACACAAATTTCATATTAAATTAGTGCAGCAAATGCCTTTACAAATTGCCTAAGTTCATCATGTGTCCTTACTAATATAAATGCGAAGGTTTAGATGGATGTCTGTTTGAAGATATCTCCAGAACGGCTGAACAGATCTCGATGAAATTTGGCATAGATATAGAACATAGTTTGGAAGAACACATAGGCTACTAATTATGTTTCTTTTTAATTTTAATCGCGTGTAACAGCTGGTTATCGAATAAATTTGTTTCATATGCCGTGTTTTATGATTTGCCTAGGTAAATTACAAACTGGCGATATATGATTTGCCAATAGTACAAAGGGTCTTTATGTACTATCTGTAGACGTTATCTGTAGTCCGAGCCCTTGGAGACACGATACTTCCGGTGCGGGGTCACGCGTGTACGCGAATTGGGGTCACGAAAAGCCTTATAACTTCTTTGTATATTCAACAGATATGGTTATGTTCAGGTTTACACTGTCGAAACAAGTTTATTTCTATCTCTGTTTAGTTAAACATAAATAGGAAGGATGGCAATATTATTTATATACAGCGTGTCCCACAATTCAACGATAAAACGGTAATGGTGTATAGCCAGATCGATAACTATACGGGGAATAATACTAAAGAAAATCCAACTCTTTTTGTTTTAAAGCTATATTAATTTTTGTAACTTTTCTTATAATTTGATACCCCCACTATATGCTTAGATACTGTGGCTACAAATATTAAGATATTCCTGCAATTTTTTTTGTATTAGCTACCTAAGTAACAGCGGTTACCGTTTTATCGTTGAATTTTGGTACATGCTGTATATAAAAAAAATGTTACCATCCTTCTCATTTATGTTTCACCAAACAGAGATAGCTATATATGTTTGTAAGATTTAATAGAAAGGGAATTCATTGGATCCTTAAAGGTCTATCTTTTTAAGGCCAAGGCGATTGTGATACAGTAATACTTTAATAAAATAAATACCAGCTTGATACCTTCACGCGTTTTTGAGAAAAAAGGGTCTCGACAGACAGACGGACAACAAAGTGATCATATAAGGGTTCCGTTTTTTTTTATTTGAGGTACGAAAGACTAAAAAATGTGCAAATCAATTGTTAAATAGTTACTTATTTTAGGCAATTATTAAACGAAATTAATATTTCCGATATTTATTATTTTTTTTTTAATAAATTGTTCTTTGTTTTGACATGACTTATTATGTTTCTTACTAATATTATAAATGCGAATACAAACATGTATTGATGGATTTTTATTCGATCTTGATGAAATTTAACATATATGTAGAACATAGTCTGGAAGAACACAGTCTACTTATTACGTTTTTTTTATTTTTCGTTGACCGAGTCGCGGGCGACAAGTAGTCTTACTTCTTACTAATAAATGGGAAATTTTTGATGGATGGATATTTGTTAGAAGGTATCTCCGGAATCTGCATGCATCTTTATGAAATTTGGTATAGATGTAGAACATAGTCTATAAGAACACATAGTCTTATTACGTATTTCTTTTATTGTTCGGACGGAGTCGCGGTGGATAGCTAGTTGTAAATAAATCCAATATTGTTGTGACCGTTACAAATGAGTTAAAGAATTGTTCATGACACTATTTGAAGCCATAAAATAACATTCTTATTGGAATTTATGAACATTTAACATATTGAAAAGAAATAATCATTGTGTTTTCTGTTATGTAACTACTTAACTGTCATTTCCACGGTTACTAAAGCTCTGCTTAGTGTTGATTTTACAAACTAAATATGTTAAGAGTTACTCCTTGAGTGTTCAGATTTTTTTTTTCGATCTTTTAATACGTAAAAATTTTGTCTGTATGTAATATAAACAACATATATAGAACTTTTGTCCATTAGTCTGTCCGTAAGGTCGCTTATTTTCTAAATAATTGATTTCGCTCAGAATTTGGTGGGAAAGAAGGTGGTTGTTGTTGGATGTACGCGGGAATGTTATAGGGTAACATTTTTGCGCTGACGAAAGTCGCGTGCAATCACTAGTATTCTCAATGATAAAAGGCACTCTTGTTAGATTATACATAGTTCATGGTACAAGCATATACTAGCTGTAGCCCGCGACTCCGTCCGTACGGAAAACAACGTAATTAGTAGCCTATGCGTTTTTACAGTTTTCTATATGTTTGCCAAATTTTAATCGAAATCCGTTGAGTTGGTATGAAGATACTTTCTAAGAAACATCCATCTAAACATTCGCATTTATAATAAGATGTATAAGAAATGTAAAAAGACCACGCCAAATAGAAGCAATCTCTTTGTGTTACGTGTATTGATTTTCGGTTGTAAAATATACTATATCTTGAAGGAAATCAAGATGGCCGATCTCTTTGTCTGACTGCGGCAGTGCATCTGCACATGCGCACATCTCAACCGTATTATGTACGTGTATATAGAGAATTCAATGTTGCACACACTTGCACTATGTATAACTAGGGATGGGACAATTACGGTTGAGCTAGACTTATCGATAAAAATTTTAGTACTTTATAATAATAATAATAAGACGTTTAATCCGTTTAAATTACAACACTTATAACACAAAAAATAAATCATAAATTAAACTTACTTTATACACAAAAAAAATCAAACACAGAAAATTTAACTAAATGTTAATTTAATGAAAAGATAGGACCTTTGCTCAGCTATATGTTTATTACCCTTAGAGGTAAATTCTCCAAAAGCCTTTACAGGTTAATATAGCGAAACGTCAGTGTCAAATGACACTTCGGTGTTACGTCATTTGACTCTATCATAACCTAAACCTGTGAACTGACGGCGAATTGAAATAATTACTCGTAATTTGACGTAATTTATTGTACTTACACGCTGTCGTCTCTGTCAGGCCGGTATTGAAACAAATAAACAATAAGTAGCCTATGTATTCTTCCAGACTATGTTCTATATCTATGCCTAATTTCATCGAGATAGATGCAGCCGTTCTGGAGATCCCTTCCAATAAATATCCATCCAATTCGCATTTATAATATTAGTAAGATATATATTTTTTATTCTTCAACTTTGAATACTAAGCGGAGTTTACGTAGGCAATGGTTTAATCAGTTTGAGAGCCCTTTCGCCAAATTATAACAGGGTCAAAATAATAAGCTTACGATATATTTTCAAAGTAATTGAATCAAAAATTTAGTAAGAATATTGTTTTATACAACTGTTATAAGTCTATTTATATAACTATAAAATTGCGTTAGCCTTAAAGTAATTTGTAATTATAAAAAGCTGTTATCTTTATTTATGCAAAAAAATGTAACAGTGCATAAGCTATTTGTAAGAACAAATAGCGCCATCTATTGGTTGTCTTCCAATATTTTAAAAAGCAAACTACTTAAATTTCAACTAGATGGCGCTATACTAATCAATGTCGATCTATTTTTCTTATTTTGTAAGTTGCTTTTGTCCTCGACTCCGTGCACTCGGAATTAATAATATGTTAATCGTTCTACTTATATAACAAACTAACTGTCGCCTGCGACTCCGTCTGCGAGGAATTAAAAAAAAAACTTAATTAGAAACCTATGTGTTCTTAAAGACTATGTTTTCATCGAGATCCTTTAAACCGTTCCGGAGATACCTTCAAACAAACATACATCTAAACATTCGCATTTATAATATCAGTAAGATAGAACTCCGTATATATTGTATACATAAAATAGTATATTAAAATTTATAAGGTACATAGTCGTTGCTATATATAACGAGGAGCCGGGCGGGGAGCTGTAAGGGGAGGGAGGGGAGGCAGGCAATCAATAGCCCTGTCCTACTGCCCTATATGGGACTCTGATGGCAACTTCTATGCGCGTAATCTTTTTTTTTATCTACGCTTTTATTCGTCCATTATTTTGTTTGAACAGCTATAATTTTTATAATCATCTGTTAGACGAATAAAATTTTTTTATGTATACAATTATAAAATACGTGCATTTGACATATTTGTGTTTTTTATGACGATTTTTTTAATTTATCGTCTGTGCATTTCTGCCTTTGTTTAGGATAATCTCCGGAATTGAAAAAAAATTAAAAAATTGTTTATTATATATCCAAAAACTTTAATTTACATTGAATAGTTTAGTTGAGAAACTTTATAATAGAACAGAACTTATACTTAAAGGTAGCTGATGAATGCGAATGTAATTTAAAAACAAACTTAATTAGTAGCCTATGTGTTCTACCTGACTATGTTCTACATCTATACCAAATTTCATCGAGATCCATACAGCCGTTCTGGAGATATCAAACATCCAAACTTTGATATCTATATATAAAAAAATCAATTGCTATTTGTTAGTTTCGCTAAAACTCGAGAAAGGATTTATCTTAGCTTGGTCTTGAAATGTTCGTGGAGGTCTATGGAAGGTTTAAAATGTGAGAAAAATTCAAATAATTGCCGGGAACTAATTAAGTTTTTTTTTTATTCCATACGGACAGACTCGCAGGCGATAGTTAGCTTATAATATTAATAAAATTTTATTTATATATCTATCCAGGCATAAGCTAAAATAGATTTTTCTTCCACAGATGGATATCTACGTGCAGACGGCAAGTCCTATAGTTGAGCAAGTAGTTCGTGGGTACAACGGAACCATCTTTGCGTATGGACAGACGGGTACCGGCAAGACATATACAATGGCTGGCTCCAACACAGCACCGGAGCTGCGAGGCATCATACCCAATTCATTCGCACATATCTTCAGTCATATCGCCAAAGCGAAGGACGATGAAAAGTAAGTATCAGTTCAGGCGACACAAATCTTTAGAACCCGAAGATTTTAGTCGCTATGTGACTTAAACAATATCATACAGGTTAGGACACATACCCATATTACATGACCTATTTTGTTTAGTTTTTTCGTGGTAAAAATTGAAAAAAAAAAAAGTAATTTGGTTCATACTCTTCTTTATAGCATAAGACTGCATGCATTCTTAAATTACTAGTGAATTATGTATTATGAAAAAGAACAACTAAAGAATACGTGACAAAAACCTGAGCCACCCCTCCTCCCGCTCCAGAGACTGATCGTAATATTTTAAAGACTCCGTTCCTCACCCCCCCC